GAATAGCGTTTGATCGTAGAAATCGCACGAATAAAAAATTAAGAACGTGAAAGATAAAGAGCGTAGAAAGCGTAAAGGGAGCACACCAGGATTTACCCTGGTTCACCATAACTTGTGGCTAATCCAGCCTCCCGAGAGACTCTCTCGAGCTACACTACTTCCGTTAAGCTTACGGGTGCTTAACGAACCGTTACAATCTGAGAACTCGAGTCCCACGAGCCTCAACAACACTTGCTCGGAGATACCGCACTCCAAGACTTCAACCCGAAGGAAAATACCTTTCCTTCGTACAACCAAGGGAAACAAGCTTCCCTTAACGTGTATACAACACTAAGACACTCAAGAACAAGGCTCTCTTTTAGAGTAGATGTTGAGTAAACTATATACGCTCAAGAGCAACTCAAACTTCACAAATTGGCTCTAGAAAGCTATAAAAAATGATGTTGTTTGAATGCAATGATAATATGAATATTGTGAAGTGAATTGATTATGTAGAGCAGACCCAAACACCCCTTTTTATATTGCCAAAATAGGCTCCAACGGACCAATGCATTAAAGGGGTGATTAGCTTGATTTATGGGATTGAATAAATTTGGGATCTGCAGGATATTGGCTTCCCATCGATGTTTGGACTCACCCATCGCTGGTAAGCCAATTTCCCTTCAGTTTTGAAGCCAACGGTCACCTACCCATCGATGGGTACAAGCTTCCCATCGTTGGGTGGGAAGTTTACTTCCAAACAAGGAAAGAATCAGCCTTAAATGACTTCCAACGGTCATGCCTTCCCATAGATGGTTAAGCCTTCCCATCGCTTGGCTCCCATCGATGGGTAAAGCTTCCCATCGCTGGGTAAGGGCATTCTGCCTTGTGATAATGTTGGACCAAGGCTTGAACATCGATGGGTAGAGCTTCCCGTCGCTGTTTGGCATGGTTCTGGAATTCAATTGGGCTGAAGGTTGCTTACCCATCGATGGGTAATATCTCCCATCGCTGGGTAAGATGATTCTGGAATCCCGGGATCACTTTCCCATGCATGGGTGAAATCTACCATCGCTGGGTAGATGGCTAGCCCAGAACCATGGCTTAGCCGACCGGCACTGAAACCCGACTGAAAAATGCAAAGTTCTCCAAAGTAAAAACTAAGTGTTTAAAACACTTATTTAATGTATTTTGATGTCAAAATAATCTTTGTATGTTGAAAACCACGTCGTTAAGGTAAAAACCACATATGACCAAGTCAATGCCATACACGGGTGGTTTTTACCAAAAGACAAAACCGAAAGGTGGTTTTCATGATGTTTTGATTGGAGAACCATTTAAATGCATTCAAAAACAATTCCTACACAAAAATACTTGAAAAACACTTCATTTAAGTAAAAACCACGGCTAGGCAAGTTTATGCCGTTTCGCATGGTTTTTATTAAATGACAAAAAAAAGGTGGTTTTTGAAGTCTTTTTTATGGAAAACTATTTAAATGTGCCCAGAAGTAAAAACCAATCATAAAAAGTTGAAAACCACTTGATTAGTTCGGACGCCAAAAACCAACGCCGAAAACCGAATGCCGAACGCCGGTTTCTGAAACCCGAACGCCGGATGGCTTGGTTTTTGGTTTGGGCGAACACCATGTGTTTTTAATGTTTTAAACATGTTTGAAAAACATTTTTATGATGTGAAATGCAATGAAAAGAATTTTAGCCTAAAGAGCCAAGGTGTAAAGATTGGGTCGGTTTTTATCACAATTGTGACCGACTCAACGACACTAAGACTACGGTCTTCGTTCTTGGTCTTCTTTTGGCCCTTGTTCTCTTTATTCTCATCTTTTGTTCTCGCCTTGTATATTCAATGACTTGTCTCGTTCACGGCGGTTTGGCATTATCAAAACCTGTCATAACGACAAACACGGCTTTAGTACGAAAACGTGATAAACCTGTGTTTCAACAATTTCCCCCTTTTTGATAATGGCAAACAAGACGGGTTTATGCATAGGAGTATTGATTTGAGACTTAAAAAAATGTTCCCCCTTAATAAATGCAATTTAGAAATAGTTCCCCCTCAATCTATGCATAACCTTTACATTTTCCCCTTTTGACATTAACAAAAAGAATTAAAAGTAAACTTTTATTCATTTAAAAGGGGAATGCAGAATACAACAGATAAAAATACAATCATATTTAATAAGGAGAAAATAAAGAAGATGTTGTGGCGTCGGTGTTGGCCTTCTTCTTTGAAGCCTCTGTTTTGGTCCTTGACTTTCCTCTAGCCATTGTTGAAGCGTTTAGAAAGTGAGTAGAGGCTTAAAGTATGCAAGAGGAATGTGAGTTGTGTGTTAAAAATGATCAAGGATGGTTAATATTTATAGGAAAAGAAAATTTGGGCCCTTGGTGTTAAAAAATATGGCTGTTAGGTATTGAATGAGGTGCCCAACAGCTATGATTTTTGAACTGCAATAGGCTTCCCAGTGATGGTAAGGTTCTCCTATCGATGGGAAGACAGGTACTGGAAAGGGAGGAAAAAAAAGAAGGCAGCCTTCCCAGCGATGGTAAGGTTCTCCCATCCATGGGAAGACAGCTACTGGAAATCCGTTAAAAAATTTTTTTAAAAAAAGTGTCAAACACCCAGCGATGGGAAGAAGTTCCCATCGATGGGAAGAAGTTCCGATCGATGGGAAGAGGGCTGCTGGGATGGGATAAACCACCCATCGCTGGTTCCCCCTGAGTTCCTCACTTTGATACGTACCTGCAAAAAAAACAACACTTTGGTACCCAAAGTATGTCTATGGGTCCTTGGGGGTTAGTTAACCTTTATTGCCCACACACACACCCAAAATTCGTTTCCTAACGCGCGCGCACACACACACACAATTAAATGATTGTTTAGGAGTTACCTTGGCCAACTCATTGTCTCGTGGTTGGCGGGTTCCAGTCTACCTGAACGGAGTGCCGATATCTCGGTGTGGTTTGTGTTGGTTCCGGTAACGGAATGTGGACTTTCTTCTTTTCGTCAAAGTAGAAGAAATAATACGGTTTCTTTTATGCATTATTCTGTGGAGATTGTTTATGATACGAATATCCTTTTCCAAAGGATTTCTTTTTGTTAGCACCAAAAATGTTGTGTGTTTCATTATAGGTGGAGTGCCTACGTTTGAGTTGTGCATCCTCCTAGGTTGATAACAGTTGCTATAGGGCCTAACCATATTCATCCTATTTTTGGAAAATATTGGTTTTTGAAAACTCTCTCTTCTAGGTGTTCTAGCATTATTTTGTCTATTTGAAAAATTAATTTTATGCACAAATTCATTTTGATAGTTATGCACATTTTCATTCAAAGGCTTTTGTCTAGGTTGTCTAGTGTCCTTAGGTTGACTAGATTTTCTATTATCTGATTTTTACTTTTCTTATGTTGAGCCTTAGAAGATTGTCTAGGTGTTTGCTCAACGTTTTTATCCTTAGATTCATTTTTATCAAAACCTATTCCTTCTTTAGAAAAATGCATGGTGTCAAGGAGTAAATTAAGATTTTTGTGCGGAGTATTAAATTTCTTAACCGTACTCTCAAGTTTAGTGACTTGTTCCTTTAAAACTTTACAAGATTCACATTCGTTTGAGGAACTTTCCGGTTTGTCGGCGCTTCTTTTGCCATAAAATTTATTTTCTTGTTTCAACTTCTCATTATCTTTTTCCAACTTTTCAAAATCATTTTCAAGAGTGGAAAGGCGTTTCTTTAACTATTTGTTGAGTTTAGAAGTGCTAACAAATTCATCATAAAGTTCGTGAAGTGCTTCTTGCGTTTCTTCAAAAGTGTAAGAGTCGGAAGAAATGGTACATACCTCTTGTACATCGTCGGTTTGGTCTCCGTGTGCCATGAGACAGAGGTTGGGAGCTTCATCCTCATCTTGGTCGGTTGACTCGTCGCCGGAATCTCCACCCCAAGAGATATACACCCTTTGCCTTTTGAGGTGTCGAGCATTCCTTCCGCTTTTCGGGCATTTGTTCTTGATGTGCCCGGCTTCTCCACATCCATAGCACACAGGGCCATCCTCAACCTTTTCTTTCTTTCTTAGAAGTTTGCAGAACTTCTTCATGACAAGCTTGACTTCATCATCGTCACTTGAATCATCCATTGTTGATTCTTTGACGGCTTTTAGTGCTATCCCTTTCCTTTGGTCATTGAAAGACAGATTAAGAATAGTCGATTCATAGGTTTTTAGATTACCTCTTAGGCCGTCGATGGTGACATTTGATGTGCCAATTGATTCATATATGGCATCGGCCTTGGATCGCCATTCGAATGTCAAGCTCCGTAGGATCTTTCGCACAAGATCCCTGTCGATGTACGTCTTCTTTAATGCATGAAGATCGTTGACTAGCTTGGAGAAACGGTCGAACATATCGTCAATCTTCTCGTGCCCCTTCATCCTGAACATCTCATACTCTTGGGTGAGGAAGTCAATCTTGGCTTCACGTACTTGGTCCGTTCCTTCGTACGTCACCTCGAGCTTATCCCACATCTCCTTGGCGGTTGAGCAGCAGGAGATCTTGCGGTAGTCATCGGGATTGACCGCACAGTAGATCATGTTAATCGCCTTTGCATAGTTTTCTACTTTCTTGATGTCTTCGGCATCAAATTCGTCTTCGGTCTTGGGGATCAACTTATCTCCGACTTTCTTCTTTGGCATCTCTTCCCCGTTTTTGATAACCAACCATAATTGGAAGTTCGTGGAACGAATATAGATTCTCATTCATTCCTTCCAATATGTATAAATGGTTCCATCAAAAAGAGGTGGTCGTGTGGTTGATTGCCCTTCACCTATTCCTGCATACAAATTTCTAGAAGAAGAACCCATGATCGCTTTACTCTCAAACGGTTAAGTTTGGACGCGAGTTAGGCTCCGATACCAATTGTTAGAATAAGTGACCAACACTAAAGGGGGAGGTGAATAGCGTTTGATCGTAGAAATCGCAAGAATAAAAAATTAAGAACGTGAAAGATAAAGAGCGTAGAAAGCGTAAAGGGAGCACACCAAGATTTACCCTGGTTCACCGCAACTTGTGGCTCATCCAGCCTCCCGAGAGACTCTCTCGAGCTACTCTACTTCCGTTAAGCTTACGGGTGCTTAACAAACCGTTACAACCTGAGAACTCGAGTCCCACGAGCCTCAACAACACTTGCTCGGAGATACCGCACTCCAAGACTTCAACCCGAAGGAAAATACCTTTCCTTCGTACAACCAAGGGAAACAAGCTTCCCTTAACGTGTATACAACACTAAGACACTCAAGAACAAGACTCTCCTTAAGAGTGGATATGAGTAAAATATATACGCTCAAGAACAACTCAAACTTCACA